CCCCGACTTAGATGATATGCAAAGCATGGGCAAAATGAGAAAGCTGAGATAGCTCTTGCGGTGGCACACGCCAACGCAGGACAAGCACCTCCAGAAAAAAGAAAGAGCAGAGGCGTCCAAGGCAAGGTCGAGACTAACAAAGTTCATGCCGACAATGCAGGATGAGCTCGAGACCATCAAGAAGATGCAGCTCGAACAATCCACGCGTCGATCCAGTTCGTGTTGTCCCGGCGCCAACTGAGTCGAAACTGACTGGCTTTTCAGGGGAGGAGCGGCAGCGACTGCTCGAATATCTTTCATCGCATGATCACCAGACTCCATTCCAGATAGTTCGTAAGAAGCATCAATACAACACTGCAGAATGGATATTCACGACCCCCGAGTTCGAACGATGGCATGATGGAACGGGTCCATCTTTGCTTTGGTGCTTAGGGAAAAGTACGATACGGACCGCTCCTCATTGTTTCTAGGCTAATAGAAGATAGTTGGATCAGGGAAGACTATCTTATGGTAGGCCAAAAGCCCGGCCGCTGTGACACTATAGATGCTGACTGTTGGAAGCGCTAATGTTATCAACCATGTTCTCGTTAAGAAGGATAGCAAGGACCGTGTCGCGTACTACTTTTTGCAGTACGACGAATCTAAATCTCTCACGACCGAAACTATGATTCGATCGATCATACGGCAATCAATTGATCCCACAGCGTCGCCACAACAGGTTGAATCGCAGATAGAGGAACTGCGTCAAAAGCCTTTCGTCCAACTCAGAGAATGGTCAAGACTTTTCCGAAATAGAATCCAGAATTCGAGCCTATTCTTTATCTTTATCGACGGCCTAGACGAATGCGACGTTACTGAGCGACGAGCGTCCCTGGACGTACTCTCTTCACTTACTACCGCTGACCCGCGTTGGAGAATATTCATCACTAGTTGCGGCAGTGTCGATAAGGACCTGAGGGATAGATTCCCACGTATGGAGCGCGTATTGATGACATCTGACTGCGTCGTATCCGATATCCGTCTCTATATTGATGTGGCTGTCGAAGAACGAGTATAAGGCGGAGAACTGGCGGTGGGGGATCCTCTTCTCTTGGAAACTATTAAGGAAATATTAAGTGAATATGCTGATGGGATGTAAGTTATAACTGTCGTCTTTTAAGAGATGTAAGATAAATTTCTAAGGTTCTTATGGGTTAAATTCCTGATAAGCGATGTTTGTAATGCCGAATGCGATGACGATATCTGGAATTCCTTATGTAACCTTCCTAAAGATCTGGAGACTGCTTTCACTAGGGCATTGTTACGGATCGTGTCTCGCTAAAAGATGATTAAATTGGTCTAGAAAGTGTTTTAGTGGGTGGCGGTAGTAAAACGGCCTATAACGCTCTATGAAATCCGCGAAGCTATTTCTATCGATATTGGATAACTGGATTGGAGGCCTGAGCGGCTGGTTCGTGATCTGAGCCCTATTGCCTTATGGTGCGAAAACCTACTGTAGGTTACCGAAGAAGAGCCTGTGTTGCTTAAATTTGCACATAATAGTATATAGGAGTTCATTACTGGAGCAGACTTGCCGGTGTCGCTGGCGGGCTTTCATGTTGACTTGGATGAGGCTGACTATTCTGCTGGTGAGATATGTGTCACGTTCCTCCACTTGAACGACTTTAAGATAACTATAGTCCGACGATAATAGCCGATTCGACTCAACGCGGTAGCTCTAGTCGATACTGCTCTCAGAGAAGGGCAAAAAGTGGATTAGTTGATTATGCGCTTTGCTAACCTAGCTTTTAGATACCGAAAGGCCGGAAAGTATAAGGTTTATAATGAAGACTTGACTATCTATAATAGAGCTGATGACGATAAGACCTCGAGCCGTCTTTACGATGGCCATCTGTTTCTAAGGTACGTAGCGTAGTATTGGATCTTATATACCTCTACCTTTTAAGAGGGAAAGTCTGCTACTTGGAGATTGTGGTAGGGGATATTAATGGACGAAAATAGCCTGGTACTTATGCTTTGGTAATATTCATCCCGTGGAATGGGATACGATATACTTGGTTGGAGTCTCAAAACGTATTATTATGCTCTTATGCGCTATGTTTTAAGGTTTTTTAACCTATCTGATTCCGATAAAATTGGGTTTCGATGGCCGTCTGCTTCCCGTGGCGATATTAATGCTATTAAAATCTTCATGGAAGATGGAGAATACCCAATGGACTGCATTAACGATGCATTTCGGGCAGCGTCAAAGGGTGGACATGTTCACGTCGTTGAGAAGCTACTCGACGCTAAAGCCGATGTCAATGCTGTTGCTGCTTATGGAGGAGAGACAGCACTTCAAATAGCGTCAAAAGGTGGACATCTTCACGTAGTTGAGAAGCTACTCGCCGTTGAAGCCGATGTCAATGCTACTGCTGCTCGTGGGGAATGGGCGGCACTTCAAGCAGCATCAGAAGGTGGCCATCTTCACGTATTTGAGAAGCTACTCTCCGCTAAAGCCGATGCCAATCTTACTACTTCTCTTGCGGGACGGACGGCACTCCAAGCAGCAGCAGGAGGTGGCCATCTTCACGTTGTCGAGCGGCTACTCATGTCTAAAGCTGACGTAAATGCTGCTGCTGCTCGTAATCAGGGACGGACGGCACTCCAAGCAGCATCAGAAGGTGGACATCTTCAAGTTGTCGAACGACTACTCGCCGCCGGTGCCGATGTTAATGCTGCTGCCAGTAATTATGACGGAACGATAGCGCTTCAAGCAGCAGTGGTCACGACCAGGTTGTTAATCGGCTAATCGCCGCTGGAGCTAAAGACTCACGAGAATCTTACTGATGAATATATACTACTATACGATACTATAGAAACCAGCTGTTCCGTATTAGGGAAGTTATTGAGCTCATTTGAACCTTTCTGCTATATCTATTTGCTGACCATAATGCGTGTGAACTATGAAGTGGCCAATTTTTGGTGGCGTCACAGATTGCCTTGTCCCACAAATAAAACTTCGATTTGAGCTGGCTGAAGCCAGTGGACTCTGCGCTACCCACTTGCATTATTTATACATGCTACCAGTGGGTTCAGATTTTCCTAATTCTGGGGAAAATCAGTCTGTTTTGAAACAACGGGGAGAACGAACAGAGTGTCAGCTGTGACGCAATGAGCTGGCATAAGTCTGCTGCTACAATACTTGGATGAGAGGTTGACTTCTGCTGCACTTTCGGATTCAGACTTGACGTCACAAGCCAACAAAATGCAGCGAAGAGCTTCACTGCCGAGTGCAGCTAGACAAAATGATGTAGAACCAACCCAGGAGGTTGACCAAGGCCGAGAGCAACCACGAATACTCTTCGCTGTTCTACTGGAGACGTTTCAGAGGCGAAGAAAGCCTCTCACCTTGACCTGCCAGCCACAACCTTATTGTTTTGGTGGACCCTCGCAAGGGATCGCACCGAAAGTAGCGTCCCAGATATCTAGCCCGGCCTTTTTCGCACATACTTAATCACTGTCGGCAAGTAGCAGAGCCTGTTGAAGGGATGGTTGAGTGAACTGGATTGAGTGGTTGGTTATGATGATCTAAGGAGAGCCGACAGGATCCTTGGCGCGTTTAAACCATTTTCTCTTCGATCCAATTCGTCGTAGCCTTTCACCACGGAAGTCATGAAAGACTCGAGCAGTTGGCTGAGGTTGAAAGAGCACCGAGGGGAGCAGGAATCTAGATGCATGCTCTCGGCCCCTAGGTGTCATGGCGAGTTGATAAACCGAGTGCGAGGTCTTCTATTGGCCGCTTCTGCAGTCAGTTGTTGTGCATGGGCCAAAAGAACATCTGAAGTATACCCCCCCGCGGCTAGGATAGCCTGTATGAGCCTCCCCAGTCTCGTGCTCCTTGATAAAATGATCAGCGGGGGGACGACGGTATGTCGTCCTAATGCAGTGCTGGCTGAAGTGTCGCAAAGAGAATGCCACAGGTCGATAAGGGTACAAGCAGCAAGGTGAACTCTATAAGACCATTTGAACAGGCTCATCAAAACACATAAAAGCAAGCTGAAGACATCTGGGTCCGCGTGAGGCCAAGTCCGTTTGTGCTCGGACTGAGATCTCCCCTGACGCTCATTAGCTCAGTCGAATATATCGAATCAGGCTGAGGAAAAAGTACGAGATAAAATGAAGGCCGCATTCGATTGACTCCGTTCAGCAGCAGGCCCGTCAGTCAGAATGCTTAGTACCTCGCACATCAGGGCTTGTCATCATCGCAAGGTGGTATTCCCGTCACACGGCCTCTGTATGAGCCTTGAGATATGGTGCCAGCAGCCACCTAGGGCGCCCTCCGATGGATGTAGGAGAGGGGTTCGATCGAGAATGGAAGCTCCGGGTTTCGGGCTCCGCTTGGCCCCGTAGCCGGCGCCTGGCCCGCCCGACGCCTCAGGGCCCCAGCAGCCGGGCGGGCATTGGCTTTCCTCTCATGATGTATGTGAGGCGTAGGAGCGACAACCCTGCAGCTCATGGGCCCGCTGCCTGATGTAAACTCCACATTGTTCTGCCGATGAATGGAGACCGAGATGCATTGTCGTCAGAGGCGCGCAGGTCATTGGGCAATGGAGAGACACTAGCAGCCTTGGCCGTGTCGACTCATCATGATCACTTGGTGGGGGCATGCAAGGTTGCAAGGGTCTGCCGTCCAGTTGATCTGCATGCATTGCTCTGTTCGCTTCTTCGTGAAGGTCTATATAACGCCTGATGGACGATTCTGTCCCTCTAAACATTACTCAGTACTAACAGTGTGCTCTCGGTCTGGTCATTTCGTATTGGCATTATCAACTATACGTCTCCACTCAACAAACGACTTGAAGAACACCAGCACAATGGACGGCCCGCCCGCTGACAACCTCCTCGATGACTTCCCCATCGACAGGCTAGGCCTGCAGCCGCTCATCAAGATCTACACACAAATCTGCCACATCTACGCCATGCCAGACGACTCAGAAAGCGCCCGTGCCAACGTCATCGAGACGCTCACGCGCGGCCTCGAGCGTCTCTCCGCCGCCTTCCCCTGGGCCGCCGGCAAGATGGTGACGGTCAGAGACGAAGCAGCCGGCAAAGAAGAAATGTACATTCGCCCGCACGAGAAGATCCCCCTCCTCAAACAACGAGACGCGCGCGACGACCCCGAAGCACCAACCTATGATGCGCTCGAACAAGCCCGGTTCCCGATCAACATGCTCGACGAGAGCCTCATCGCTCCCATCGCCACGTTTCCCCTGCCGGACCCCAACGAAACCTCGCCCGTCGACCCCATCTTCGCCATCCAGGCCACGTTCCTCCGCGGCGGCCTCATCCTCTGCTTCGCCGCCCATCACGGCGCCATGGACATGAACTCCCAAGCCCGCCTCATCGGGTTCCTCTCCCGCGCCTGCCGGGACACGCCAACCAGCCCGTTCACAGAAGAAGACCTCGCGATCGGCAACCTCCGACGCACGGAAGCCATCCGCCTCATGGACGACGAGGAATACGCCGCCATGGACCCGGACCTGCTGACGCCGCACATCCTCCCGGCGCCGCGCTCGCTGCAGGCCAACGACGAAATGGTCGAGATGCTCACGGACCCGTCCTTTCCCCTGGGCAAGTGCGTCTGGGCCAACTTTGAACTCCCGCTCTCGACCCAAGCCGAGCTCAAAAAGCGAGTCTTGACGAGCGGCGCGCTTCCACCCGACATGCACTTCGTCTCGACAGACGACGTCCTGACGGCCTTTGTCTGGTCCGCCATCACGCGCACCCGCCTGCCGCGTCTGCGGAAAGCAGGAATCGCCACGGCCGGAATCGCCCGCGCCGTCGACGCCCGCCGCTTCCTGCCCATCTCACCCGACTACCTCGGCCTCCTGTCCACCATGACCTACGCCACCGTGCCGCTCGACACGCTGGCCGAGCCCTTTGACGGAAAGGGTCTCGCCGTCGTCAGCGCCGCGCTGCGCAGGGAGCTCGAGCCGCGACGGAGCTGGTGGGCCGCCGCACGCGCGCCCTGCCTCGTACATGGACCGCATGCCCGACCGGACGGTCGTCAACTTGACGGCGGGGATGGATCTGAAGAGCGGCGTCATGCTGAGCTCGTGGGCTGGCGTGGAATCGTACGCGCTGTCGTTTGCGCTGGGGTTGGGGCTGCCGGCGAGTGTGCGTAGGCCGCGGTTCACCCTCGTCGAGAGCTTGATCTATCTGCTGCCGCGGTCGACGGATGAGTCCATCAGCGTGGCCATTTGTTTACTGGAGGAGGATATGGAGCGTCTCAAGGCGGATGCGGAATGGAACGAGTTCGCCGACTTTGTGGGGTAGTTCAAGACATCGCGTTTGTTCAACAAAAGAATCCAGGGGTGTACCATTCATCACATCATCGCGTCCTCTTGGGAATGCAGCAGGCATCATAGTACATTTGCCTTGATCTAGTTGACAAGTCTCCGTGATACACACGAAAACACCATAAAAATGGCAAGTCGGAACCTGACCCAGACAAGAAAAATACCCCAGAGACACGTCAAACTCTCCATACCAAACCAGACATCCCAAACCAGACCTGTCAAACCCAATCTAGCATACCAGCGACACCACTCCCATTTAATTTTGCTGCCATCGAATACCCAGCCCCGCGTTTTCTTTTGCCCTAGGGTCCCCATCTCCGGGCGCCCAACCACCCATTTCCACTCGCCCCGGCCCCGACCTCGTGCGTACCATATCCTCTGCGGTCAAATCTGCAACCCTGCTCTGCGCACTGCCGACAGGGCTCCGCGAAGGACTGCGCGACCCGGCGCTCAGACCTGCTGTGCCAGTCCTAGGCAGACGACGGGGCGCCGATGATGCTCCTAGCAAGGAGTCGCCCCTTGACCTCGTGTGCCTCCCGTGCTCCTGCTCCCATGCTTGGTACGATGTCTGACCGATGCCAAAGGCTGGAAGTCGGGGCGAGGGCTCCGTCTCCACAACCGAAGCCGCTCGGCCGCGGCCTGGAAACTCTCCACCGCGACTGCGACTACGTCCTCTGCTCATGGGCACTGGCTCCCTGGGAATCGAGCTCGGGTTACGTGACATGGGTTGCGACGTGTAGCCAGTCACCGGATGCGGGCTCGATGGAGTGGCATCGCCCTGCACTGGAGGAGAGAAGAGAAAAGCGGGTTGATGAGTGTGCGGTGCCGACTGCGGCCATGGTTTCGCACTAGTCCATTCATCTTGTGGTTGTGTCGAATGCTCCGCCTTGGTCCGCTCACCGCGATAGTTATGCTGCAAACTACTCTGTCGATTGGTAGACACCGAGAGAATAGGGGGCGCAAAGGAGCCTTGGCATATCCCAGGGCTGTAGCTGCTTGTTTGCATGCCGCTCGGAGCCATAGTGTCCATTTCCGCATCCCAGTCCATTAAGTCATCTCGCATATCGCGAGGGTTTGAGTACGGGTAAGGATCGTGAGGCGGCACCCAGGGCGACTGCATCGAAGCCTGTGTCTGCCCTTGAGACGTCCTTTGGGGCAGTGAATGTGAACTAGAGGCGACCTGCGACGACAATGGAGATCTCGATCGGGGTCCGCGCAAGAACGACGGGGAAATGTCATCGAGAACTGAGGCTGGAGCTGGCTCGGAATGGCTGTCCGGTCTAACCCTTTGTCCAAGCCGAATGGTCTTCTCTGCGCCCAGCACAGGGCTACGAGTCCGATCCTGAACTGGTCTGCCGCCGCGATTTGGCGGCGGTGAGGCTTTCTTGATGTTCCTAAGCCCCGCTTCGGCCTGGCTCTCGGAGAGGACGCGGGCATGACCAGGCATCCAAATATTCGGAGTGCTCTCGGACATGGAAAACAGACCCCTAGCTGACTCCCGGCTGATGCTGACGCGGGGGTCATTGCTGGCAGAGGCATCCCTCCACGCCCCAGCACGGTCTCGGTAACGCCTGTTGTCCATCCTCCGGAGTGCGCGATGTTGTGGCACACCTGCACCTTCACCCATCCCGCCGTCGTTCCACGGAGGGTGCGGCTCCGAAGACGGAGTCACGGTTCGGTCATCCGCTTCATCGTCCTGGAATGGCGGAGCAGGCATCGTGTTGTCATATGGGAAAGGCATCGAGCGAGGCGGGACTGGGGTACGGGACGTGTAGTCGTGCGGATTGGTATGGTCGATGGGGGACCGATATAAGCTGTCCGGAACACGTCCGGGGTCAACGAATGAAGAGTTGGACAGTGAGGATGATCCCTGGGAAAAAAGACGGAAGCCGTGCCCGTTGACCAGCTGTTCGACCCGCTGGAATACCGAAGACCTTCGTGGCCTCGTCACCATTGACGATGCTCGCCAGAACGGCACGCTGAAGCCGGTCAAGCCTCGGCAGGAATGCTCTCTAGTCGCAGCCTGAGCTCATGCCTTGCTGTGTTGAGCTCAGGGGAAGCTGTGGTCTTCCTCCATCTGGTGACATGCTCCAGAAGCGCTTACCATGAGCTGGAGTATCGTCTGTAGTCGTCGGCATGCCCAGACTGGCTTGTTGGGATCTGCTCTCGGCGTGGCGGCTCTTCATTCGGGCATCCGCCTCATCAATGGAGCGACAAAATAAGGCAATGGCGCGTTCAAGCCAAAACTGCTTGTCGTCGGCCAAGATGTTGGCAAAGAACACCTGTGTAACGCTGTGGGTCCACAGGGTGTCGAGCGGCTCCGTCTGCGTCTCTCCACTGTTATCCGAGTTTTGCTACTCAGGGACGGAATCTCAGCTGTTTCGCTGCGTTTGATGAGGGCGAATGCGATAAGTGTGGCAAACGTTTTGTTCAGACTTCCCTTCGTCTTGACAGACGTCCGAGTATCTAGCGCACTGAGACCCAGAGCCAACATCTCCACAGGAATGAGCTGGCCAAAAAAGGAAAGTATGTTGATGAGATTGAGCGCGGCAGTCTCACCACGGTCTTGTAGGTCATCGCGGATCGACTGGAACGCTGGTAGGGCTGCGTCGCCAATGTGGGGCTTGGCTTTCCAGGACTTCAGGTACTTCGAGAGTGGTTCCCTGGTGGCCTTCATCTGTTGAGCGGCACTGTGGATCATCAGAGGCAGACAGTCCATCAGCTTGACCAGTTTGGCGGCCATGTCGAGGTCGTCGAGCTTGTACGGCTTGTGCTTGCCCAACTCCCCAAGGAGCAGCTCCTGGCTCTCGGGTACAGAGAGCAAGCCCAGCTCCAATATGGTAGGATTGTTGAGGAGATGACTGCCAGCGACGGGACGCTCTGTGGAAGTGAAAATAATGCTGGTGTTCTTGTTGTCCGGGACGAAGTGACTGATGGCCGTTGGGTCATCGAAGCGGATGCCGTCAAAAATGATGAGCCATCCCTCCAGCTTGTTGAACCAACTCCGCACAACATCAACTACTTTCTTAGGGTCTCGGAGGTCTAACTCGGACCTGTGGTCAATCATCTGTCGGATAGCATCGTTCTTGGCAATATGCCAGAAGTCGTCCTCCATCTCCTGTAGCGTGCTCGCCCTGATCCAATAGATGCCGCCAGGGTAATGGTTCTTGTGGTTGAAGATGTATTGTTTACCTAGTGCGGACTTTCCGATGCCGGACATGCCCTGCACGACGACGGCCGATGTACCCAGGGAGCGTCGGTGCTCGTCTAGCAGCATCGCATGCAAACCAGCGAGCTCCTTATCACGCCCGACGAAGACAGTGTCAGGGTGAAAATGACTGGGAGTGATGAAAAGCGACGAACGAGTCGATTGCGCGTGCTGCAGAAAGGGCATGCTCAAACTCGGCGTAGTACGTGGAGGGGCAGATGGGCCTTCAAAATATCCGGAGGAAGTCATCGGCGTGTTGAATCCCGGAAAGCCAGCAGCAGCGGGGCCGAGGCGCTCGGTGGCATCCTCGATAGCACGCTGGCGCGATTCGTTCCTCTCAACGTCCCAACGGCGCTCGATGACGGAGGGCCCCTGGATGACCCACTCGCGGATGGCGCTGGTTACAATGCGGTAGCCATGGCTTGTCGAGCTGCTGAACTTGCACATGTTGGAGTGCGTGGCCTCGATTCCAAAATATTGCACGCCGGGAAGCTCTGGATTGGCAGAGGCCGAATCGACAACGAGGCGTTTGGTAATGGTAAAGTCAGTCTTGTGATTCTCATGGGCCATTTGAATCTTAAACCTCTGGTAAATGTCGAGGAAGTGCACATTTATATCTCGGAGTGTCTGATTGTTCTTCCTTCAGCGTTTTGATCAAGATGGGTTCGCTGTCAAAGAGTCGTCTCGGCATGGTCGCTCTGGCCATGTTTTGCAGTATGGAACCCCAGGTTGCGAGGCCGGATCCTTTGTGGGGCGTACCCAGGAAAATGATGGCAAAGGTCGAGACGAAAATAGAGCGCGAGGCTTCATGGTGTCTGTCTTCGAGGTCGTTGGAATAGTTCAGGGCACGCTTCAAGAGAATGCCGCCGAGGCTTTGAGCAACCCAAATGATGGGTCTCGTTGCGGTTCCCCTCGTGCCGCGGTAGGAAATAAAATCCAAAGGACGGTAGGGCCGGCTCGTAAATGTAATTGTCACTGGCGCTGCGCTCGCTGGTGCTGGCAGTGTCGGCGTTGTACCCGTACACGAGGACATCGACTGGAGCGTCTGGGCCGAGCGTGTTGGGCAGCAAGTCGATAGGCCAGTAAACGGCCGAGTCCTTGGCAGTCCACGTCCTTGTGGGGTTGCCGTTGAGACCATGAAGGAAGACAATGTCCGCCTGCGCGTCAGGATGGGTAAAGACGCACGTAATGCCATCGCGGGGGATCTCTTCCCGATCGACCATGTCGATGGCGGGGGTTTGGACGTTGGGGATCAGTGGCGGTGGCTCAGGCTGTAGTACGCTGTGGTGGGTTTGTTGTGTTGATGACGCCGTACGAGCGGCACGTAGGATGAGATCAAGTGGATTCGAATGAATGGAGGAGAAGGGAGCAATGTGCAATGTGCGATGCGTGTGTGTGTGCCATGTACTGAACGCCGACAGAAGGTCCCGGGATGATGCGACTCTAAATAGAGAACAGACGCAGTGGTCGGCAGAGCCTCATCAATGCCATTCAAAAAGGAGCGTCGTCATACCGCCGCGAGGTAAGATCTGGCTCTGCCTCGTGAAGAAGTTCGACTCTTGGCTGCGTGGGGTGAACAAAGAAAACTCTAGAGCTTGTTGGGTGGCTGAAGGTCTGCAGTGCGTGAAGAATCAGGAAGGATGGAAGCGAGGTTCGGGGGTTCAGGTGGCAGAAGAGAGACTTCATGGGCGGGCTGTCTTGTCCTCCGGGGGTCGAGGTACCTCTCTCTCTCGTCGCTGGCTCTTGCTTCTCTTCGGGTCCTCTTCTCAGGTGATGCAGGTGCATGTTACACCGAACTGAGGGGAGCGAATTGAGTCGAGTGTCGCTCCTTGCCTTCCTTGGCTGCTCCAGTGGCAGTTGCTGCCGGGATACGCCATCCTGGGTGTGTGTTGAGCGAGCCGAGCCAGTGGCAGGAGCATGAGAATGAAACACAGGCGCCTTCCCGCGGATGTCCAATGGGGAGCAGCAACCCCATCGCTGTGGCTGGGGCTCAGCTGAGAGAGGGAAGGACCGCAGTCTGTGCAGGGCAGGTCCAGTTCATCCGTCATGGCTGCCTGCCTGTGGGCTCTCTTCCACCTCGAAAGGCGAAAACCACGTCCACATCTGGCATTCCTAATGCTAAGAGTCCTCATTTGGCCTCCTCGACAATGCCATTGTCGGAGGCGTCTGCGGCTCCGAACAGCCCCCCCGCGCGGCACATCCGAAAGCGCTTAGCACACGTGCGCCAGTAACGTTTCACTGCGCCGTGCCTCGAGCGCGACAGGCAGCCAGCCTTCTTTTCATTTTCCTTTTCGCCCCCTTCGTTGCCAGACTGGAGCCTTATTCGCGTGACACACCACAAGCCTTTTCGGTCACCACAGAACTGAGATGCCGTCGAAATTTGCGTTGCGATCACCCAAAAGTGATGGTGCCATTACCGCTCGACTGCCCCGTGGCTTGACACATTTTCCTCCGAAGAGTCATATGGCAGATGGCGGCGGCACCAACTGTCAATTTCACGCCTTCGCATGACGAACCTTGGGGCGAATGGGCGACGCCAGCAACAACATTCCATCCGTGGTGCTGTGTGAGGCCGCCTTCATCTTTTCTTTGCGAGTGCTTCACGAGGCTCGCGGTGATCTGCTCTCATCCCAGCTGGATACGAAGACGACTGATGGTGTTGTTGTGTTGCATCCAATTCTGCGGATCCGACAACAGAACAAAGGAAAAATGCCCATGGGCGGCATAATCTAGGACCCCAAGGCACGACTTGTTGGTCACATAGCCCCGAAGACAGCGTTGCACTCGATTGCTGATCTGGGAGCACAGCAGGGGTACAGTGCATCATGCATCGCAGTGGAGTCTCTTGCAGCCTTTAAACAGGTACCCGAATGAATTCAACGCGTGTTGTTTCTGACATCAACATGATATCGTTTGCATCGCTTGGGACACTGGCATGCTCTAGATCCTGTTCGTCACTGAAATTTGCAGCCCAGACTCGACGAGAAAGCGTTCATGGAATTTCGGACAGCACGCCATCCGGCTTTTTCCACTTTGTAGACCGGGCTGCACCATACCAGCTGACCCGACAAACGAACCCAGCCTCCAAAACCCCCGAAGTCCCCCGGCTGTTGAACAAGCTGTTGCCAACTAATGTGAGTTTGCTATCATAAACAGCCTTTTTGAACTGCGATGTCGGAACTTCACAACTCGGTGTCACAAATTCGTGCGCCACGTAGCACATCTTAAGCCTCGACTTTCGAGCCCCCTTTGAGTCATGCTGTCAGGCTTCCATCAGACGACTAAGCTGGCCGCGAGCCCTGCTTTGCGCCGAGCCTCACATTACTGGGCGACATGATAGTCGAGTAGGCGAGATTTACATTCACAACGCCCGCCAAGCTTCGCCCTAGCCCGCTACTTTCAGGGTACTAATGTACGCCGTATGATACAAAAGACAGGTAGATTTTGAACTTAGTCTGTACCACAACGCGTACCGTGATGCGCAAGATATAGGAGAGCTGCTTCTAGGTTTGTGAGATGAGACCGTCGGTAGTAGCATGTGTCATAGACGACGCTGATCCGGGCGCTCAAGGCT